AAAGCAGTGCCCATTCCTGCTGTTGGATCCTATGCCCTGCTCTCACATCCCATTCCTTCCCTTCCTCTTGGAGCCCGTACTCTTCCCCCCGTTGCTCTCAAAACCGTGTGCCTCCCCCCACCTCTCTTCTGCAGGGTTTGCCCCAGGCAGCAGCTCTTGTTGTTATGCCACTGGTTTTATTCACTGTGGGGACAAGTTCACCCCATATAAAATAAACTGGCTGGAAACCCCAAGCAGAGAGCTGACTGGCCTTAATAAGGAAAGTGCAAGTGACTTGCTTACAGGCTAAGTAATTGATGTTTCTTTTGAGAAGGGCAAATTTCCAGGTATGCTGAGACAAGCAGTTATTAAATGTTTGCTTAAGAAGTCCTTTTTGTCAAGAGCTTAATATGGTTTACAGTAGACACCTCTAAGAAAATGGTGGTGGGTCAACTTCATTCCTCAGGGTGTATATTTGTTCCCCCGGCGACAAGTAGCAATGACACACCTTGTGTTGCTGCTATTTGTCCCTGAGGAGTGCCCATGCTATGCGCCCTCTGGCACATGGCAGGTTACCCTGGGTGGGGTAGGGGAGGCTGGGGCCAGCAACTGTGCTAGCCCCAGCAGGCTTACTTGGGGTCCTGGGGGCCTCAGGGTACTGCAGCTGCAGCACACTTCCTGCAGCTAGGAGCCTGGCCAACAGCTGGAACAAGCCTGGCTCCAGCCAGACAGGCTCTGATTTTGGATGGTGCACGTTGCCACCATGTGCATCACCCTACTTTTTTTTTTTTTTTTTGGCATGGGTATTTTTTTGACTCGGATCTCCTGAGGTCAGAAAACATCCCCATGCTGCAAAGCAGAATGAGGAAGACATGCATGTGGGGTGTGGTGCCACAAATGCATCTGCAGTGACACACACTGCATGTCTGGGGTCATCCGGACACAGCGTATGAGACTGGCTCCAGCCATTGGTACAGCCAAAAAACAGTTAAGGCACTGTTGGTGTTTAGTGTTCCTTTGGCAGTAGATAAAGTTTCTCTCTCTTTTTTTTAATGGGATCTCTCAGCCATCTACCAGACAGTAATGCTGGCTCACTTCAGAATCTAGTGAAGATGGAAGTGGCTCTTTTTTTCCCCCACCTTCATTTATTTGCATTGAATTTGAATGATTTTAGCTCACTGGCTCATGTGTAACCTTATTGTTTAAAACACGGGTATTAAAACATTAAGTGGCAGCAAATGAAGTTTGTAATGTGCTGGATAACTCTTTTTTTTATTTATCTAGGGTCCAGTGACTCTGGCAATAATACTTGCTAAACTAAAACTGAAATGTGGATAGTCAATCAGACCAAGTCATAGAACTAAAAAATCAGAGTACTTTTCATGGTACGAAACACACTTGCCCTACCACCCTGTTAGGAAAAAGTTAAAGACCAAACTAGTAGAACTAACCTGGTGCCTTTTACAAACTTTGTACAAAAAGCTGGTCTGGTTATACTCTTTGCAATATTTCAGGTGCTGCTTCAAAATTTTGAGGTCACTATCCTAAACTCACCTTTAATAAAATGTTCTACCTTAAATTGTTCTGGTCTGTACTGGGCTGGGCTGACAGTTGTGCTTACTGCCATTTGCCTCTCACTCCAAAAGTTGCCATGTAGCAATAGGGCAATTAATAGAGAGAGACTTTTTCTTCTGTTCACTACATAACTTAAAAGCAGCAGAGAAATGGCGATGGATTAAGAATACTTAAAGTAGGACAGGGGGATGGAAGAATACTTAAGCATCCATACAAAAGATTGTGATTTGGGCTGGTTATACTTTGGTGTTAGGTCTCCTGGCTCTCCTAATACTCAAAACAAATATAACTAAAGGTATTAGTTTTGTGGAGAAGTCGCATATCCTTCTGTAACACGGGTGGGCAAAATGCGGCCTACAGGCCAAATGCGGCCTGCCAGGCCATTCTATCCAGCCCACGGGGCCCCTAAAAAAAATTTAGAAAATTAATATTTATGTCCCTGATTGCCTGTCATGCAGCCCTCGATGGCTTGCCAAACCTTAGTAAGCAGCCCTCTGCCCAAAATAATTGCCCACCCCTGTTCTATAAGTTTCAGTAGTTTGCTGTTAGTCAGTCCCATCCAATCTAACTATGAGGATTGTCAGTCATTGGAACAGGCTACATAAGGTATCTTCATTCTTGAAGATTTCCAAGATCAGGCTGGACAGACACTTGGCTGGAATGGTTTTTAGTCAGGGATGATCCTGCCTTGAGCAGGGACTGGATGAGTTCACCTCATGAGGTCTCTCTTAGCCCTACTTTCCTGTGATCCCATGATTCTTTCTATTTTGTTTCTTCGACCTTTATTAGCCAATTTTAGAAAGGAATTGCAAGAGCAGTGCTTTAGTCAGATTTATTTAGGTTGGCAGGTCTGAAGACAAGGTGCCTTCCTCGAAGTGTTTGTAGTGCAGCTTTCAAAGGATTTGTTTACTTTGCTCACTGATGGCAATTTGTGCAGTTAATTTGTAGTATATCTTAATTGGAAACCTGAAAATGATTATGATTCACCTAGCTACTTGAAATGGACTTAAAGGTTAGTGTTCACAAGCGTAATTCCCCTTTTTTATATAAGTAAATATTTTCATGTTTCATGACTAGTAGAAAAACTTCAATACTTTCATGCTTTTTAAGAAGAAATCATGCAGAGTTCTTTTGACAGTGGAGACATTCTTTCAGGAAACTGACTTTGTAAATAATCACTTGAGGAGATGGTAGAGTTTAAAGACTTATCACGCTTTGAAGATAGAATATGATTTCTAGTTGAGTTATTTTAGTCTTTTAATAATAGATTTAGAACATCTAAAATAATCTATTTTGTTGTCTCGCAAATCATGCTGAAGCCTTGAGCCAAAGGGGTTTTTTTTCATGGAATCAGAAAGACTGTTCAAGACTTATTTGGTAGCACACCAAAATATTTTCTTAATTTAGGTAACCTTATTTTAAACTCAATTGAATTACCTGTGCTAGGATAAACTTTAGCATTGGAGATAGGAAATAGTTAAGTGATATGAGATGGGGTGAAGGAGTTGGGATTTCTGGGTTTCACTCCTGCTTCTGCCCCTAACTCCCTATGTTGTTTTTCTTTGTACAAATATTTCTTGGATACTCGTGGTTATTCCACTTCAGACTTTTAAAAGTACCATAGTTCCACATAGTAATGGCAGGAGAACTCTAAATGTCTTTTAGTACAGACCTTAAATTGGGGGTTCCCACCCATAGCTTATGGGCAACATGCCTGTAAGACCCTGTATTGTTCACTGTCCCAAAGGATTAAAAAGTTAAATTTAACCTGATGGGAAGATTAAAGCCTGATATTGCCTGCAGCACATTATTTGTTCAGTATTGTTGCTCAGTGAAGGTTTGGCGGGCCACTGCCTAAGTGGAAATGTTCTGCAATCTCATTCCCTAGAACTTGTACTGTCTATACCAGCTAACCACCTTACGGGACAATTGCATCGTTGTAACCCAGACGTAGTGAAGGTTTAATTTTAAAATCTGTTATTCCCCCTTGCTAATAAGTGAGAATCTCATCCAATCCTGGTGAATAACTAAACTCTCATATCTATTACAATCTCTGCTTTGACTGAACCAGACATGATGAAGGAAGGACATATTTGGAATATGCCTATATGACACAAAGAAGAGTCAGGCTGAGATGCTCTGCACCTAATACTTACCAAACATCAAGGCCAGGTACAGACATTCCAGTTTTACCAGTACAAGTGATCAGAAACTGGCATATACCTGTAACAAGACAGAAGTTCAGCACACGCACACTGGTTTAAAAATGGCAGAACCCCTCCCCCCACTTCCCCACAACCAAAGGGTGTATGTATAGTCTGTTTACTACTGATCTAAACTACGCTACTTACAGAAAATTTTGTAACTTTAGATCAATTCTGCCTCTGACTTCTTGAATGTCTATATCTAGCCCAAGTGTTTTATAGCTACCCTGATTCAGAGTTTTTATGTATATTAGAAAGCTCACAAAGGCACTGCTGTTGGTCTTGAAGTTGGTGTCCACAGTGTATTTCAGCATAATATAGCCTTGCATTGAATACTGGCCAAACTTCCTAACCCTTCCTGCTGCCAGTTAAAATTTTGATGTGGCTAAGAGGCACAAGACACAACTTTCAAAACCAGCATGCCCTGGAGTCAGTGATCTGCACATAGCCCTACAGCTCAAAGAATAATCTGTTCTAATTTTAAATGAGTTCCCAGAACAAATAATAAGAAATAAAGAAAATCAAAAATACACAAATAATAAATATACAGAAAAAGATTTATTTATTTAACTACATCTTTTTGTGCACAAACTACCCTGAAGCTGCATCCAGCTCATTAGTCATAGTGTGGTCACTCCTAGCATTCATTCAGGGACCAAGTCTACCAATCCAAATAAAAAGGAAAACCAGGAAGGAGACAATACCGTATAAGCCTCTTTTCAGCTATTTCAGTGGGTGGTCATATGGGTGTTGGAGGATCAAGTCTTCATTGAGAAACTTTTTTTTTTTTTTTAGTGAATAATATGGAGCATTTTCAGTTCCAGTATGTTCAATGACAGAAGGACAGTTTCAGAGAAAAGAGAAACACCAGTGATGACCTCTAATAGTTTTAGTGTAATTCAGTGTTTTGATAATTTTTGTTTTAAAAAGAGACTTGGATAAAGCCAGGCGATGCACAGGCACATCAGGCAATCATAAAGCGTAGAACTATAATTTCTCTCCTTAACACAATACTATGTTGATTAAGACACTAGATGGTTGATAATCTTCATCTTGGCACAGTTCTCCTCTGATATACTCTGCTTACAGGAAAACTAATTCTTAAAAGCATTACACTTATTTAGTCTAGTAATAAGCTTGGCCTACAACTTTATTGCTTCAACATGATTTGTGTGTGTATATGGGCTGTTTTACTGTCTAATAACTCATTTTGTTTGGATCTAACATGCTGTTCATCTGCAGTTCCTCTGTTGGAAGTGCACTACCAAGAAGGCGCTGCTGTGCATACATTACTATTGGAATGATATGCATTTTCATTGGAGTTGGACTAACTGTGAGTAATGTATTTTTCAATACTAATTTTCACAGGGGCCCCCACTGTTTTCTCAACTCTCAGCATTTGAGTAGCATTTCTTCAGTTCTGACATTTTAGTACTGTCTGACCAC